TAGGCTTTAATATTATTATAATTCTGAGTCCACATCAGTTAGATAAATCTACTTCAAATTACATGTAGTTTGGTGCGTTTATCTAATGCGATAAATTCCAAGTCTAGGATTAAATCTAATTGTTTTATCTCCTGCCATGATGTTAAGTTCTCTTGTAGCAGTCAAGTATTAATGGATGGTTTGTCGTAATGTCCATTCGTTTGTACTAACTGTCATTCCTGTGTATTATTGAATTGTAAGTGACTATATACATATATTCAATAATACATATATATATATATAAGTCTAAATTGAAATCAACGTTCAAACCTATGATTGCGTTGGATAAAAACCGCAATTTTTATACGTGTGAATTAATGCAAAACAAATTTCTTGGCAGAGGGGTCTAAATACAGCACAAAGAACATTTTCCAAAAGACCAAAAAGGTGAAAAAGTATATTTAAACAAAACGCATTTGACTAACAGGTCGAACAACGGATGTTCTTAAACCCTGCTGACTGCCAACTAAACGGATCACAAGATGTAACTAAATGGATCTTTATTATTGATTTAATATCTGTTAATACCAAACAGAAAACAATAAACTTGCGGAAAAGATGGTATACCGCAAACATGAGGTGCAAAAATTTGTACACCATATCCGGATTAATTTCGACAATTAATGTCTCTTCAGTGATGTTAGGAATCGAAACGGTACTTGGAAGGCCATATAATTTACCTCAATTTAGGATAGACTCTTGAATTTTGAAGAGTCAAAATAGGATGAACGGATCATATTTTTATATATATATATTAATATATTATTTGCAGATTTAACATTGTTGTGCTGATATTTAGAGTAATTATGAATAAAATATGTGTTTTCAGCCGTGTATCACCTTAACTGGTGATCCAATGGATGGATCTGTCGTACAGTTGTCACTTGTTTAGACGTACTTATCAAAATAATTATTTCTGTGACTGTATCTTACGATCCTTTACGATAGATATTTACTATTAGCTAATCTGCAATCAATTCCATCATCATGCCTAATATATCATGTACTGTGTTACAACTCTAGATTCTACTGACGAGGAAAGGTAACACTGGGCCAGCGAAAGCTGAATTATTAGTTCAGTCTAGGTGGCCCAGCAGCCTAGAGCGCTGGACACAGTGCAGGCAGTGTTGTCTCGATATCACAGTAGCATGAGTTCGAATCCCGGCGAGGGAAGAACAAAAATTTGCCTCCACAAATTTGCAGATTTAACATTGTTGTGCTGATATGTAGAGTAACTATGAATATAATATGTGTTTTCAGCCGTGTATCACCTTCACTGGTGATCCGATGAATCTGTCGTAGAGTTGTCACTCGTTTAGACGTATTTATCAAAATAATTATTTCTATGACTGTATCTTACGATCCTTTACGATAGATATTTAGCTAATCTGCAATCAATTCCATCATCATGCCTAATATATCATGTACTGTATTACAACTCTAGAATCTACTGACGAGGAGAGGTAACACTGGGCCACCGAAAGCTGTTTAAATTGTTCAGTCTTGGTGGCCCAGCAGTCTAGAGCGCTGGACACAGTGTAGGCGGTGTTGTCTCTATCCAAGTAGCATGAGTTCAAATCCCGGCGAAGGAAGAACAAAAATTTGCTTCCGTAAATTTGCAGATTTAACATTGTTGTGCTGATATTTAGAGTAATTACATATATAGATATATATATGTAGGACTCTAAAATGCGATGGTACTCTAAAATGCGATGGTCACGCTAAAGTGCGATGGTCTACGCTAAAGTACGATGGTATATCACGCTAAAGTGCGATGGACGAATAAGGTAAGGTTCGAGGGCTTAAAACGTTAAAGTACATGGATGTTAAAAAATAGTATTTTTTTCAAAAGCTAGTATGCTCAGGTATAACATATGTGACAAGCTTTATAATTTACCGGTAGGCTTACGTTATTGTTTCTAAATTTAGAAGACCGACCAGGTAATAATTGCAAAAAAGTCATTTAGATGTCACAAAATACTATATTTCCTGTAAATGTTTTTTTTAACAATTCGGGCGTATTAAATATTTGGATAATTGGTGTAGCTTGCCGTTCACACAGTCTATCAATAATCTGAACATCTCCCCTTACGGTCGTCATTGTAAATTACAAATACAAAATTAGTTCATTGTCGGAATATAAGTAACATCTTTTTTGTACAAGCTTTAATGTAAATGCGAGAGAAAGGCGAAGTTCGCCGAGCTTCCTCCTTTTTTCGTAGCGAGTACAAATATATGTTATATTTTCCTACAATGTACAAACTATGTTATAATTTACGACTGAACACATATACCTTTATTTTACCGATGTTACTTTTCAATAAAATCGACAATATTTTAACGGGGACTGCAAAGTGAACTGCAACGTATACAATGATTTAATCAAATGTATCCGTTCGACTCCAATAGAAGCAGGATACAGGATACCTATGCGTATACTATTTTGTATCTATATAGTAAAATGGTCGACTGCAGGACACATTGTCAAGTCATTCATCCTGCAGCCGAAAAAAAATTAACATTTGCTTCAGCGGACAAAGCACAGTTAGGTTGAAATAAAGTCATGGACATTTGGTTTAAAGTAGATAATCAAATATTTTAATTTCTCTAATTCTTCCGTCAATTTATCCATTTCTGCACCCATTGTGTAAAAAAAATTTAATCAACGTGTGGTTCGTTTGATCTCAGTTCATCATTGGTTAAAATCCGATTATGACGTCGAATTTTCTTGCTTTCCTCTGAATTTCCTATTGTGAAGGCATGAAAAAAGGCGACCATGTCTGATGACGTCACACAGAAAGAACACATCTTTTTGCAGATCATTCGAATAGAAGGAATAACTTTGCCTGCATATTGTTAGAAAATCATTAGAGAAACAGATTCCACCACCAAATCTCGTGTAATACGATATTTATCCACTCTCGACAGTTAAATTTTAAATATTTAAAACGCTCGGCGAGCCTCGCGTTTTAAATTTGAAAATTTAACTGTCTCGAGTGGATAAATATCGTATTACACTCGATGCAGTGGTAGAATCTATATTTACCTTCCAGCATGTACATTTTTGGTTTGTATAAACGACTGTTAACGTCATAACCCAACTACGTTTCTTACGTCTATACTTTCGCGGACCATCGGACTTTAGCGTATGAAGGCATCGCACTTTAGCGCAGACCATCACACTTTAGCGTGACCATCGTACTTTAGAGTCCTACATATATATATCCGTGAAAATGACATAGTTTACAGTTCAAGTGCAGTGTACTATCGTAAGCTACAAAAACTAAGTTAATGTTCCCTTCACAAATCGCACAAGTCACTTTATTTAGTACTTTGTAACCTGTAATTTGCCAGAAGTAAATGTTCACATGGATCACATTTGATGAATCGTTATCATATTAAGTCTGTTGACATATATAGGTAACAAATAGGAAGAGAAAAGATCAGAGGTCATTGTTTTTCCCGCAAAACATGTTTTGTTCGAATAAGATGTCAGACAAACTGTCATTTTTTCTTAAAATGTCCTGTACCAAGTCAGGAATATGGCAATTGTTATCAAATAGTCCGTTTCTATGTATGTTGGCGTTTGTTTTTGTAGCAGTTCAGTGTTTATGTTGTTCCGTTGTTTTGTTCTTATAGTTGATGTGTTTCCCTCGGTTTTGGTTTGTGACCCGGATTTGTTTCAGTTTAATCGATTTATGACTATTGAACAGCGGTATAATAATGTTGCCTTTATTTATACCATGGTTAAAACAGAACATCAAAAATCAAACCTGCTTTGTAAGGATAATTTTCTACATAAGGAAATGCCTGTACCAAGTCAGGAATATGACAGTTGTTTTCCATTCGTTTGAAGTGTTTGAGCTTTTGATTTTGCCATTTGATAAGGGACTTTCCGTTTTGAATTTTCCTTGGAGTTCGGTATTTTTATTATTTTATTTTTGTCTTCCTATATGTATTATTGTGTTTAAATGCAATTTTTAAATGTTCAAAGTTATAATAAACTGGTTGACTAGAGAAAATCAAGAGAGTCCATTAATTAAGCATTTTTATATATTCAACACAATTGATTAGAAACACAAAACAAAAGCTTAAGGAAAAACAACAATATATCAACAAAAGGCCAAATAAAGTACGAAATAACAGATGATCGAGTGTACAAACTACATTGTGTACTCATTAAAGAAAAACACACAAGCAACTTAACTCATACATCCTTAATCTAGTATTAATGCATTTATAAGAACTCCGAAACAGTGGTGAAAGTTAAGCAAAGCGGTCTAAATAGTCATACGCCTCAAGTCACAATGGGGTTACTCTGTTAAAGTATTCTCATTGGTAAATATTAGACAAAGTAATGGCTTTCTTAACGTCTGGTTAGACAATATTGGGGTGCATCTATTATATATGTGCGTATTCGTAAGTGAGGCCGGAAAAAATCATGATAGTAGGTCATGGAAATGACAGTGAAGTGTTCATTCAAGTTAATTGTGAAGTGTTGCATCGATATTTTAATGACGCACGGGTCAAACACGAAAGTGATTCAAATTAGTTAAGTTTTGTTCTGTCTTTATTATTCAATTGTGTTTGCATCAGATATAAATGGTAAACTTATTTTAACGTGTTAGTGTGTTTAAGATTTTGTGTTAAAGTGCATAAAATGCATACGTGGTGATTTAAGTTGAGCTATATCAAGCCACTCACTGTCGTGAATGTATAAAGCCATTTTCAAATGTTACGTTCATAAAAAAGAGACCATGTGTCACCTGCCACTGAAAATGGATATACATGTATACGTTTATATGTTTTATTAATTTATCTATCTAAAAATAAATGAAAAAAAAAAACTGCATGCATGATAATATATAGTACAGTTTAAAATAGTTCCATAGAATATGCCATCGAAACGTTACCAGTATTACACTCACATCTGAAATGTTCTTATAATATAGTTTGGGTACTCTTTATTTATTATTTCCTGTTGATGGTCAATGGAACATTCTTTCGCAGTGTCTTTCCACATAGTTTTGGATATCCAATGACACCTTTACAAACTTCAGATTCTGGCCTATTTGAGTCCTGAATCGATTTGAACCGAGAATATTCATCAACCTCCATTAACATATACTTTGACGCTGTTAAATCCATTTTGTTATCCTTCAAAATTGCATCTAAGTCCAGCTGGTATCTAAATATATAAGTTCGAGTATGTTGATAATTATTTAAATATAGTTTTCTAAAGAGGTTACAGTGTTGTATACATATTATGAGGGTCTAAATGGGGTTAACAGAATAGAGAATAATGGGCCTATACTGCAGAAAAATGGACCAAAAAATAAAGAAAAGATAAATAGGCCCCCAAAATAAAGAATAGGGCATAATGGAGTGCTAGAATATAAAGAATAGAGAATAATGGGCACAAAATATGAAGAATGCAGAAAAATGTCTTAAAAAATTAAAGAATATAGAAATGAAGGACCCCCTTCCATATCCGCATACTATCACAGTAGCATATACCTACAGCACCTACACCTTATTCGTACATATCGGGATAAATAAGTAGCTTTTCAAGAGCCACTATGTCCAGTGGCGGATCCAGGGAGGGGGCCATAGAGGACGTACGCCCCTCTTAGATCACCATCTTATTTCATGTTTTTTATGAGTTATATGATTTTTCGATATATAATCCGTTGTATGGAGTTACCCCCCCCCCCCACCTCCTTTTTTTCAAAAATCCTGTATCCGACCCGGGTGTTCCGTCTAAACTACATGAAAATGATTTTAAAATGTAATATTTGCCACTGGACATTCAGCGCTCACCAGTAATTAACCAGTCAAAATTACGTTAATAAAGGAGTTCAAAATTACGTTAATAAAGGAGTTCAAAATTGTTTATATCAAATTTTATCTAAATTTCTCGCAGTGTTTACTTCTGTTAACTTTGTCAGAAAACTGCGTTGATGTTTAAAGACCCCTGTGAGTCTCGAACGGTCGGCTTGTCAGATGATCCAGTACTGTAACATTTTTTTTTATATAAATCTGGGTTAAAGCATATGCTCGTTATTTCAACATGCAATTTTTTACGACTGTTGTAAAGGAGAATGTGTATTAAAATGGTGTGCACCTATAACGTTACAACGATTGCATTACCACACAAAGACACTATAATTTCAGTACTGCAGTCTAACATTCACCAACGGATTTCTAAAATTATTGGCTGATCTGATAAATTCTGATTTTTCTTTTTGAGAAAAATGTAAATGTACTTCCCTATATAATAAATGTAAATAATTAAAGTAACACAATTATTTTTAACCTACATGGAGGCAGGAACGCAGTATATATTTGTTGGCCTTATTTCATATAATCAATTTTTATTGCTGTTGAATGATCTTGCATCTTAAAATATAGTGATTTTGTACGAAACAATTGCCCCAGAAATAAATCTTATAGCAGATCAAACGATTTTCCGGACCATTCTAACCAAAAGTATATTTTGTTGCAATATCTGTAGCAATATTTTTGCAGTACTCCTTGAAAGAAGAATTTGACGGATGACAACAAAGCGAAAATGCAAAATCTGTGTCGCTATATATTCTATGAATGCTATTCTGAAATCACATGTCAATTGACAGTTATACAATAATGTTTTAAAACAATAATCTATCATAATTGAAGTTGATGAAATACGTCAAGCTGTTATTGCTCCAAATGTAGGAAAATGTTGAATGAATTTAACATGAGACTATCTCAGAGCTGCCATCACACCAAATTCCCGAAGTGCTAAAACATTTAGACTGACGAAATATCTAGTAGCATAGACACTAGGCACATAAGAACCTTGTTTTTTTTAATAATTTGTGTGAAGGTTTTTTTTTACATCATTGAAGTTTATTCCACATTTCCATTTATTCATATTGGTATTCTATCTGTTCAAAAAAGTATAACAAATATACATGTCCAAGGCAAATTCAAAAGTGGAAGTCCATAAAAACTGATAAAATCAAACACTATCAATCAACAGAACAAATAAAAAACAACTGCCATATTCATGACTTGGTACAGGCATTTTCCGAAGAAAAAGGTGGGTTAAACCTGGCTTGATATTATCAAAAATTTAATTTTACCTTGAGTTTTCTGGGTTGCTGTATTTTCCTAATGAAGATATTTCCAGAGGTTTTGAGTGATGATATAATAGGAAGTAAACTTTATTGTCAGTGTTAGGTGTTGGTTGTGGACCCTCGTATTCTTTCACTGTTATTCCACTGGAGACCTGTCCGTTAGCAATGTTAGCTACCATCCAGTTGGTGTAAATAAGAGGCTGGTAGTCTTGTTTGTTAGAAGACTTCTTGTAACCAGTTACCATTAATAAAGTCGAATAATCACCTATAAAGAGTACATGTGGTCTAGTGTTATCAAAACAGGCAACGAAATTAATTACAGTCTTGCAAAATTGCCATATATTTTCAACGCCAAATGTTGCTATTATAAGTTATGAGTTATGGTTATCAATAACATTACATTATAATATAGGGTCAAAATGTTTAAGAATATTTTTAACACGTAGTTTTCAGTGTACACATTATCAAAGTAACCTGTAATGAAAAGGATCACTTTATCATTCGGAAAGAGTCATTGGGCTAAAAAGTCAGTAATGATACAAAAGTATGCGTTTTTACATTTACGACAACCTAAAAAGTTATTTGGCATAAAACCTAAGAAAGAAGGAAGGAGTTTTGGCTTCGGCAAATGGAACACATCTTCTTTTTTAATATATTGTTAGACTGTTGTTTGTCTTTTCGTTGTTTTGTTGGGCGTTTTTTTTTGCCATGTTTTTGTCAGATTTTCTTTGATTTATGATTATTGATTGTCCCTTTGGTATTTTCTGTCTCTCTTCTGTTAGAATTAAAGTAACTTATTACAAAGTATGATTTTTCCCTTCCGAAAGCAAGATTTGTGTATTTATATTGACATTTTTATGAAATTGTCCTTTTTTCATGACTAATCATCCCGGTGACCGTATACGACTGTGGTCACCGGACTTAAAATGTCATTAGCATTTTGATATTCCCATCCTGAAAACATGATTTTGTCACTGTTTTCAGTGGGGTTCGTATTGCTCAATTGTAAGTTCTGGAATTGTTTTTTGGACTTTTGCTACTCTTTCCGTCGTTACTCTATTTCCCATTGTATAGTTTTGACCAATCACCCCTCCTTTTCGGTATCTTAATATCTCAGTATTTTTTGGGTTTTGTAACCATCTTTTTTAGTTTATTTCACGGTGATCATCAACAATTGCTTAATATTACAAAAATACAAAAATAAACCTTTTCGTTTTGATCCACTTTCCCTCTTCCACGTGACTTTAGGTTCATTTGACGATTTAACATCTGCTGTTTTCACCATCACATTCTCATCAGAGGGCAAGAAGAATATTTTTTGTCTACAAAGGTATTTATTCTTTTTTAATCCTTAAACACATAAACAAACTTCTTAAATAACACCTTGACCCCAACAATTTTAGAAGTCAGTCAGATAACTTTAAAAATAAAGTTCGTTTAATAACGAGTTTTCTTTCACTAAATGCATACCACTTTTTGTAAATGAAGCATAAAGTGATCTGTTCAAAATAACTTTGAAAGGTATTACAATAAAAAGAGTCTAGAAGTATTTAGTTTGGACTTCTCTAGGCCTCTGTTTTACATAAGATATCATTTGGAAATCCTCAGCAAGAAATATCTATCAAAGGAAATAATGAAAAGTAATATACAATATAGAATTGAATGATGTTTTTTTTTTTTTAAATTTATACGAATTAAATCACTTTCTTTCATTTCGTATAAACTTTCAAAAACACAGCATTCAATTTATTACATTTACAAATTTTTGAAACAAAAAAAAAATAAAATGTCACTGTGTTTTAATATTTTGAATCTGAACTCAAAACTGCAGCAGAAATTGTCTAGTATGACGAAAGCAGTATCATTTCTCGTGAAATCAATGTTATCATTGGATAAAAGTTTATTGATATGTATTTATATCAATTATCTATAATCCACGATATATGTTGTCAACTTATTTTTTCAAATGAATTGCGTTCATACGACATGGGTTGTTTTCATACGAAATGAAAGCATGTGACGGAATCAAATGATTTGTCTTTCAGCCTAAAATAAATGAATTGAACACCTACTGTAATATAAAACAAGTTCTTCGTGCAAACGATTATGGTTTTTAAAAAAAATCAAAAATTGTAATCAGTTTAAAAAAAAACGTAGTTTTTTTCAAATATGGGTATAGATATAAATGTATAATATAAGATTATTATCGAATTTCATGGTCACTTGCTTTCATTTCGTATAAATAAAAAAAAAACAGCATTCAATTATATTATGAAAAATCACATATTTGACATAAATGTAATGGATTTTATTTCAATGAGACTTCGACTTAAAAAGCAAGTTTAACATACAATACCTTACAAATAGCAATGTATCGGTTATTGATATCATACTTACGAATAATAATAAACGTGACAACAGGATTCAAATGTTATAGCATTAGCGGAATATTTAATGCTTAATTGAAACGTCGAAGAAGGTCGCTCGTCATCCTCATCCTCATCTGTAGTAGGGCCATCTTAAACACAAACCAGACACATAGTTATCACTAGATTTGAGCACAGTAAATGTTATTTTTCAGTAAGAGGCAGATTTGAAATATAGGAATAAATTTTAAAATAAGAGAACGGGGTATGGTTAGAAATGAGACAACTGTAAAGCAAGACTTAAACATGTGAAGGTGAATAACTACAAATCGATAAGTCACCATTTTTCAATAGATTGATATTGTCCATATCATAATATAAGCAATAAAAGACCTCCGTTATACCATAATGTGAAACATCTAAACGTCATACCGTGCTTTAGGCGTATGCACTCATGTTTTTATGCTTACATCTTCATTTTTCTCTTCCGTTCTGTATGATTATTGAAATTTAAATGCAATCGCTCTCAAATTTATACCTTCATACAAGTTGGAGGTTTAGCTAGCCATAAAACCAATTTGTTCCCCCGGAAAATGTCTGTATAAGTTTTGAATATGACCGTTGTTTTGGTTGATATACTCGAGCGTTTGATTTTGTCACGTTTCATGGACTCCCCCTCATTAATACTTTTTTTAAACAAATACAACAGATCATACCTGTAAAATAAATATCATTCGAGTCGAAAATATGCACCCGGAATACGCTAAATATAGTCGGAGTAGTTAACATGCACCCGGAATACGCTAAATATAGTCGGAGTAGTTATAAAGCCACACGTTTAATATAAACATTGTTACATTTTTGTATATTCGTTTCTTTGTACATTTTATAACCAAATACTAATGAAATTATAAATTATACTTACTATCAAATTTATCACATTTTAGCCCCTCAGGCCAAGAAGTTCCCAATTCTGAAGCTGTTGAATCGCAACCTTGTTTTGCCTTCTCACAGAGTTGTCGTGAAGGTAGAGTGATCGGAGAGTTGGTTTCGGATGGATCACATTTAGGAATATACAGCTCGCACAGAAATTGTTGTAAGTAAGGACTGCATCCCTTCTGTACTAATGGACTAAACTGGTGTATTTCGTGTCCAGCGTCATCCTGTTTTTCATGACCGAAGCTGTTAGGAAACTTTGTCAAAGTGAATCCGATATTCTTACACATTGGTACTGTAATTTCTTCACAAGTGTCGTCTGCTTGAAGGGATCCGAACAGACAAACGAGAGCAACCAGTATGTAAAGCATTTTGTTTTAATGATAAATGATTGATGCACCTGTATCTGTTCGCTAAACAACTCATTGAAACTTCGTGTTTATGTACAATGTATATATACTATACTTGAACTGCATTCCTGAACTTAAAGACGATATCACTCAGGCTTAGAGATCCGGTTTAAATATCCAATAAAATGTCTTATTGTTGATAGATTTTTTATCATTGGACCTTTTATTTCCAGAATAACTTTTATGGTGGTGTTTTTCTTCTGTGGAAAGCCAATTATAGATTTGCATTCACAAAAATGAATTTGCCCAAATCATTGATTCTTCGAAGCTGGGAACAACGATGCCCATGTACTAAGTTACTTTTGAATTACAATTAAAGTGTCAAGAATATACGTTTATTAATGGCTTGAATTATCTTAATAAATTCACAGTGTAATAAAGATTGCATAATATTTTTTTCCAAAAGACCGTGACATGCCCTCAACGTGTTTTTGTTTGACTTTAATTTAAAAAAAAAAACATCACTGCGCACTTATTGAATTGAAAAGTACAAATAAAATAGACCATCATTCTACGATTATTTTATTTTTCTTTTCTTAAGGGGCATAGAGAAATTATATTTTGAAGATAAGAAAAACTTTTGTAGAACTGAAGGTTTGAACAAAAACCAGTTTTCTATGAATCTGAGCTTGACTTTTTGCTGTACTGATTATTCGTGAGTGTTCTTTTATGTACCTTTTGGTAGTCTTCTGATCCAGATAAAATGTGGCTTGGGTTTTCATCTAAAAATCCAGTTTTACCCCGCCAAATGAGAACATCGTTAAGCTTCGTCTTTTGTCATATCTTAGTAATTTTGTTACTTTGTGAGTTTGGTGTTGATCTTAATGAGGGTCTGGATGGGGTTTACATAATAGAGTATAATGTGCAAAAAGTATTAGTGTGAAGGTAGCTGGCGACGTTAATATTCATGCGGCCACTCTGCAATAATGATCATGAGCCTTTGATAATATCCATGAAATGACTTGCGTTCAAAAAGTGCAGAATAAATCACTAAGAAAAATAGAATAGAGAAAAATAGACCAACAAAAATTATGGAAAAATGGGGTGCTAAAATATAAAGAATAGAGAATAAAGGGCATAAAGAATTATAATGGCTTAAAAAATTACGATACAGATTTTTTTTAGACTTAATTTCTATTTAGAGTTTGACGTATGATAGACATCTTTCTATTATTGAAGACTGTAGATGACTCCAAGTTATTTTTGTCATTGTGTTTCTGTTTCGTTCACGTATAAACCACACCTCCTTTTATTCATATTTTAATTTCTTTTCAAACATAATAGACAAACTAAAACTGATAAAAGGGTCATTAAAAAAACATATCCTGGACATGTCATTTTCTAGTAATTTTCCATTATTTACATATGAATGAAATATACAGAAAAAGTGAAATGTCTAGCATGGCAATAAAGAACAAAGTTTAAAACGATAGTCCACTCTAATCCTGTTTTAAAAAGTAAGATGTTTTCGACAAACGTTCCATCAACAACATCTTTTTATCACAAGACTGATGTAACTTCCCTTTTCGCTATTCACTGTTAAAAAATCAAGACTAATATTCTACTTTATTACATGTATAGCTATTAAAACATGACAACTATAAACCGCCATAACTTTTCCTTTTAACACATTTTTTAAAAAGTAAAACAAATCACTGAGGATTTGGGCAAGGACACCACAGGCACTTGTCTCTGAAAAAAAATCCTATACACCTTAATATAACACAATTGGTACTTAACTCGCATTTTTGAAAAAATGTCACCCTGTCGCGAAATTCCGTTATATTTCAATTTCTCGGTTGTCAATCCCACTAAAACTTGTTATGTCGTAAATCTGACTTGATTTATCTACACAATGGTGTATAACACGCCTACCTTTGTTGTCGGAATTATTCGTAGCAGGCCTACCCAAGTATGTCAACCGTAATTATTTTGTCTACCAACAGCCGATTGGAAATATAAGACTCGCAGTAAACGATTGATTATAAAAAGTATTTCCCAAAAACCGGTTAGTTTTTGTCTGAACTTATCATCCATATAGTAAATTTGTAAAAGATTCCGTGAAAAAAATATAACAAGTGTTATTTGAGGTATGTCTAAAGAGTTACAAGTTTCTATTTTTAGACTCAAATTTTCCCATTCCATCAATATCATTCTCTGGACTTTACATATAAAATGAGATAACTCCAAGAAACATTTATTTTTAGCATTAGACCTTCCCATAAAACTTGACCAATCAGAAACCGAGATATATATAAGAGAGGGGAAAGATACCAAAGGGACAGTTATAATTAACTATTTACTACGAGTCTTATATTTCCAATCCGCTGTTGGTAGACGAAATAATTACGGTTGACATACTTGGGGAGGCCTGCTACGAATGATTCGTACAAGGCAGACAACAACAATATAACAACAGTAATGTATTAATATATGCTGCCTCTCTCTTCTAATTTTACACAAGGCAGAACAAATCTAAAATTTAAATATTTTGCATCTGCTTGCCTCCGGTGCAATTTATGCACTTTTTCCATCAACCATATAAAATATGACGTGTATCGATTTAAAAAAAAAACCTTTTCATTTCTGTTAGTGGTTTGGATATACAATCACTCAGCTATTCAGAATTTTTAAATGTACAGTCCTCAGAATGATTAAATCGAACGAAGGCGCCGTGGACTCCGCATTCAATACATGAAATCAGAAAGTCCGATAAGTTTGAAAGGGTAAAATAAAAAAAAATATAGGAAACCTTTCGAATCAAACGGATTTCATGAATTCTTCATACGGCGCCTTCAGTCGATATATAAATAATGCCATTCATCTACTTCCGTCATAAGAATTGACTTCCCGTAATTTAACAGCTTCATGTTTTATGTGTTTTATGTAAAACTTCAAGAAATGTATTCATATATCTGTCAAACTAGACCCAATTTGAGATATGGTCATTAGTATTTAGATATGAGCCAAGGTTTCACCCCAAAAAAAGATATTGTTCTGCAAGATGTCTTATACAACGATGTTAATGCAAGTTAAATATTGTTTTGGGTAAGGTCTTGTCTCATATCATATTTTGTCAAAACCTATGTGTAAAATGGCCCTTTTCCAACAAATACGTCAATTTTAATATGTCATTAACGTTATAGTTACATCACAACTAAAATGTATCGCTAGAACATAATCATATTGAAAGGATAGTTGTTTTTATGTTTTATTTTAGAGGCCAAATAATAGTTCTTATCATCCTTCTCCTTTCACGACATATGGCAGATCCTACACGGCAATTATTGTCACGCTGAACATTTATCACTTGTTTTATCATGTTCCTGTTTTTGACACTACTTGACACATGACTTAATATCGTAAAGCGTGCGATACATGGGTAGCAGATTGAAGATGCTGTTCGTGTCGACGCTGTTGGTATCAATCTATTTACAGTTCAGACAATACTTATTGTTTTCATTCCAAAGTTTTTCTCTTTCTATTTGGACTTATCATATGTTTACTGAACCGTGGTAAAGAAGCAATCTTGAAGCTAAATCTACACATTTCTTCTTGTGTTTATCTTTCAACAAAACATGACATACATTTTGTATTACATTCATGATTATTTATGTAAACCACGATCAACAATTCCTGCGTAGTTTTGGGATTTGATATTGTTTCTTAAATTTCATGAGATACAAACATGACTGTATAGCGCAGCTCTAATGGCTTTGAACATAATGTTTTTCTTAATTTTTGCAGGGCATGTGTGGTTTATTAGTCTTTGATGATTTCAACACATGAAACCCTTCTAATTATATTCAAATGTGAATAATTTGTTATCTGCCACAATTCTAACGACGACATTAACAATGCAGAAGACAATAGAAAAATCTTTATTTTAAATAAATCTAATTTCATCCAACTGTTACGGACGAACCAACACTAGTACATGAAGCTGGAAATCCCGACTGACCAGAACAAACCTGTGCCCTGTCCTTGCTACTCTCGTCTACATGAAGATGGCGGACGTATTCATCATGAGATGCTAGCATCCAACTGGCACCTTTAAGATCCAAATGGTTATTACTTACGAAGCTATTGATGTTAAAGCCACATCTACAAAAATACAATAAAAAATAAAACAAAGCTTTATTTGATCCATTTGTTTATTATTTACATTTTAACCTATATTTCGTCTGCTTTATCCACACCAGTTTGTTTTTTATTCCTTATTTTATGCTGCGACTGATTTACTTACATGTTGAGGTATTGTACAAATTAATGTATCTGACATCGATGTGCACAGATCTTATGGTCTTTTTGTATGCTTTAGATTTTTTTTCGATATTTGTTCGTAATTTTTACTATAATGATGTTAAATTTTGTTTTGGTCCATGACAAAATAACATTTTGAAATACAGCTTTAATTTGTTTGTCACCACCCACCACCACAAACACACACACAACGGCTACTACATGTGCATCTGAAAAGGGTATCACATATATATCAATATATTGTCGTTTGGACACATTGGGAGTTTTTAATTTATTTTCAAAACATACTTGAACATCAAGTTTAATTCAGGTTTTATATTTTCGTCTTTTCGTTTGTGAAATCCTATTACAGAAGTATTTTCCTTCATGCTACGTTCAACAAGGTTTGCTATTTGACTTACTTAGTAGTTGACAATCAAGTTTAGTTTCTAAATTTACCACGTATGATTTCATTAAATTTTAATTCCGTAGTTTTTTTATATTTTGATTTCTGACTTTGGCTACGACTGTAGTTTGATTTTCAATTTCTGTAGAAACGGCTTGAAGTCGGTCTCAAATGCAATCTTTGATGTATATATCATTGTTGATACTATTTATTTCTTCTGTTTGGGTTTCGAATTTTATTACAAGTCTATTAGGTGTTTGGACAACTGATAAGTTTGTGATTGAATGTTTAATAATCAGAGTATTCACCGAGGTTTGGTTCGAGTGAGCTCTTTGTATCCGTCATGTTAGTATAATTTGCATTATATTTTGGTTTTGTTTACAATTTGAAATTTTTCTTTCACGTTTACGAGTTATGGTTTTTCATTACCTTAACTCATTTCTTATCAGAGTAAGTTTTTCGTGTGTTATTTCCGAAAAATTTCATTGTTTCCCCATATTTAGATTAAAATTATTAGAGAAAAAAATCAACTTTTCATTTCCAAGGGCAGTTATTGTCATAGTTTCTTACCTAGAACAAGATGTTGTATAATTGCCAATTACAGAAGGATTAATTTTGCCGGTCTGTTTATAAAGGAGGAAGTAATATGTGTGCGCACCACTTGGCGGCTGTGGACCTTTATATTCTCGTACAGAAACACCATCGTTGACATTTCCTTTTGGAATATTCAATACCAGCCAGTGAAGACGTGGAGACGATCCTGCATCAGGGTCTACCATCATAAGGGTATACAGTTCATTGTCTACAATATGAAAAAAATCTGTCCATAAAAAAGTTAAGACTGGTTCCCTTTCCTTTTATATGTTTGGCTCTGACAATAAGGGTAACTCAGATACCTGTATGTTCGCTGCCAGGGAGAGATCCAGCTTATATAATAATAGTCTAGATCATTATTATAGAAAAGGAAACAATACAAAATATCGTCAGATACGAGGCTTATGATTTGGTCCATCAGACGCGCGTTTCGTCAAATAAGACTAGCCAGTGGTTATCGAAGACATATATTTTTATTATGTTTTATTTTCTCGCAAAGAATACAATCAAGACTAATACAACTTTAAACACATTTACTGATAAACAAGACATTATACAACTTTTAACACATGTACTAACGAACAAGACAATATGCAACTTTTAAAACATGTACTGACGAACAAGACAATACTCAACTTTTAACACAAAAACTGTAAACACATGTACTGACGAACAAGACAATATAAAAAAAGGTAAACACATCTACTGACGAACAAGACAATACAAAAACTGTAAACACATGTACTGACGAACAAGACCATACAAAAACTGTAAACACATATACTGACGAACAAGACAATATAAAAACTGTAAAAACATATACTGACAAACAAGACAATACAAAAACTGTAAACACATATACTGACAAACAAGACAATATAAAAACTGTAAACACATATACTGACGAACAAGACAATATAAAAACTGTAAACACATGTACTGACGAACAAGACAATGCAAAAACTGTAAACACATGTACTGACGAACAGAAAAGTAAACAACGTTTAACACTTGTACCGACGAACAGAAAACATAAACAACGTTTAACACAAATACTGACGAACAGAAAAATAAACAACGTTTAACACGTGTACAGACTAACAGAAAAATAAACAACCGTTTAACACATGTACTGACGAACCAACAAACGACATGTATACTGTGACCACTTTAAACTGTTCAAATTTGATATGACTAATATTTCCTCTACAAGGAGTAAGTTCGTAAAGTTTGTGAATTAATTTGAAAGGAAATTTGAAATCTTTAATATTTAACCATGCACACAAATTTATTTTTACTTATTATAATATACAGAAAAGTTATTTGATTCAAATTTCACTCATGTATTAATATATTTCAAATATAATTATTTAATAAAGTTTACACAGTGAGTAATTGTGGTTAACAGAAAATCATTCATAACAATAACATAAAGTTCGTCAATTTAAGCAGTTATATGAGAAAAGCTTCATATTAGTTGCATCACTCTCTTGGATAAAGTTGACCTTAGATGAAGTTTAGTAATCGTTTTAGACATTTTTGATCATATAAGTCTTGAACGTATTCAGGTACTTACAAATCTTTTGATTTGAGCGTTTCTGGTGAAGATATAATCAAAAAATCATCTCGGAGGCACCCCATCTAGTTAGTGTTATTTTCATTATCTTACAGCAGCCATTTACACACCTGATTATGCATGAACTATTTGCCATTGGACCAGATAAGTATATTGAATTCATGGTTGGTGTGTCAATTATCAATTGTGTTTAAATAAATCGATTTCAAATTTCTAAGATAATACATTTAATGAAATGATTACCTGCAAACTGGATGGCGTCAGGGTACCAATCTCGCTTAGAAAGAGAAACGGATGGAATTGCAGACGATCGGACATGTGCTGTTTTCACGGTGTTGTTTCCAATAGGATTGAGAGAAAATGACTTTTCACTGTAAACAGATTAGCAAATAACATTTACAAACAAATAAATTAGAATAGTGATTGACATTTAAGTCGTTACGTAATCTATGTAATGTGATGGAAGTTGTGCACGACATAAAAGTATAAAATAGCCTTAATACAGCAATCGTTAAGTTAAACGGTTGTTGAACATGCATGAGCAATTTGCAACTGATTTTAAGCAATGCAAACGTCAATTAATCAACCTAACTAAAGGGTTGAAATATTAATATAATTATACAAGACGACCTACGGAAAACCAGACAGAACTTAACATTTGTAAACTTCTATGCATAAAAACAACAATTTCTGCTCAATGTGTATGCAGGAGAAACACACCAGGTGGCCACAGACCACAATTAAATTCTCTATTAGTTCTTTATAACGTTTTGTTTCATTAAAAAAAATGCTCCGGTTCTTTTTGTCAAATATTTTGTGTGTGTAAAGTACAGTACTAGTCCAAACATATATCAAACATTCAGAAATATCGCTCCCCAGCATCTTACAAATTTAGCCAATACACATCCATACCCCTATGGACAAGTCAAGAGATGTTCCGAAAACTGTAAATATCACCTTTTTGCACCTGGCCTAATTACTCTTTCCATATCAAAATCAGTTAAAATACAACATCCAAAAGTTTATTTCACCTCTCTTCTTTCATTTCCATCCAAAAAAATCTAAGAAATGAGTGAGGAAGGGAAAGAAAAAAAATTAAGAAAAAATACACTCTAATTAAAAGGAACTATATTCGTTAATTGTGGTCTTTGGCCAGGTACTACACTTGACTAGTTTTGGTAGATTTGTTTTACGATACCAGCGATGCGCAACAGCTTTAACTAATCCGAGAACTACTACTAAGCGGGTTTTGAACGACCTCTACTTCCCATAAGGGTCTCTCACGGTGGGTAACCCTAGTATGAAATATCTTACTAGTATCACATATATATGCAAAGCCCAACCAGGTGAAGTTATTGAAGTAAAACTTACTTGTAAACATAAGTCTTACAACATGAAATAAAACTAATACTGGATGGTGTGTATGTAACATCTACAGACATATCCAGTATGGTATTAGAAGGAATGAATGATTCTGGGTGGTGATGTAAAGCTGAAAAATTACAAAACGAAAAATCAATAATAAATTCGAAGTTAAAATCTAATTTTAAATTTTACGATCATGTAGAGCTAAAGGCTGTGAAAACCACGACATCTTTAAATATTGATGATATCTAATTATTTGAAGTTAAAATTAAATGCTTTATTAGTCTTTCTTATTGTTCGTTTTAAGTTTTAATATTCGTGACTACAAAGGGTCCTGATGGATAATATTTAAGTTTACTGACTATTTGAAATAATCAGTTTTTCTGAAGGAGAAGTTATGGAAACAGCCGTTCGTGAACTCTGAAATTTCCACACATATTATTTAGTTTGTTGATATTATTGATAATTCATATAGTTTTGTCACTTTGGAGTATTCGTTTCACAGATGACAACGGATATGTTCCAATTGTTGTAACTACAATCCCGTCCCCTTTTCCCCGAATGTGACCTACCGAATAAGACTTATCACCGGTTTTGTAGTAACACGAGCAACAAGAAGGGTGACACATGTGGAGCAGGATATGCTTACCCTTCCGGAGCACCTGAGATCACCCCCAGTGTTTGGCGGGGTTCGTGTTGCTCAGTCTTTGGTTTTCTATGTTATGTTTTGTGTACTGTTATTTGTCTTTTTGCCTTTTTCGTTTATAGCCATGGCGTTGTCAGTTTATTTTCGACTTATGAGTTTGAATATAAGGAGATGAGGTATGATTGCCAATGAGACAACTATCCACAACAAGTGCAAATAAAGTGGATGTAAGCAATAATAGGCAACCGTACGGCCTTCAACAATGAGAAAAACCCATACTATATAGTCGGCTATAAAAACATAAAAAATATGAAACAATTCAATTGAAAACACTAACGGCCTAATTTATAAAACAATTAACGAAAAACAAATATGACAGACATGAACCAACGACAACCACTGAATTACAGGCTTCTGACTTGGGACAGTCACATAAAGAATGTGGCGGGGTTAGAAATGTTTATGAGCGCTCAACCCTACCCCTAACCTGGGACGTCGACAGTGTTGTAACAGCACAACATAAGAACAAAATATAAAAATCAGTTGAAAAAGGCTTAACTCATCAGATCGATACAAAACAGAAAAACATCAAACATAAACACAGACCGCGGACGTGGCAGGGTATTTATCCATAATCCCTCATCCCTAACAACAAAAAGGACACTAAGTACAGATTTGGGAGTACTCGCAGTTACTGACAGCTAGTTCAAAGCAAATTACAAATAATAAAATAAATCATGTATCTAAGACTAAAATATAAATCAGTACACATCCAACATCCGATTGACTTAGTGTAGTCAGAGAAAAACATGACCTTGTGCAATGCCAAAATAAAGGATCGACAGATTGTAGTACCGTCATAGTGCATATGCGTATAACAAAACTATTAGTATGATTTTAATTTATTGATAACGAAATCAATATTTATACCAATAAAAACAATATTCAAAGATCTAATTACAGTGTTTGTTGAATTGGTAACTTTTCAGAATAAGTTTATTTAAAGGATTGATAAGTTTACCCGGATCGTATATAAATTTCCGGGCTCGGTAAACAACATCACCGTAAAATTTAGGATGTTCTTTTCCGTCTGAAATACGTTTTTACAGGTACAGCCAAACTTGCAAATCAAACCTTTGTATCTATGAGAGAATTTAGTAAAGGTTTTAAGTAATTTGTGGTAACGAAATTCCCGACTTTATTATTTACCAGTAATACATAGATTACGATTTATGAATTTCGAACAGCGGTATACTACTGTTGCCTTTATTTACGCTCATAGAAATCCAAAACGTCACTACAGACACGGGCATAACGAACGAGTTGGGATATAAAAACACCGTAAGATGGTGCCAGAGGAACATCACTGTCCAAGAAAGGAAAATTAACAATAAGGAAAGAAAAATCATCCCTTTTGTCGTAAATTTTTGTGTAGAGTTTCTGGTGTAAAACTAAAATATATAAATCTAGGAAAGGACACTTATTCCTGTTAATATTTGATTTATTTAAAGTAAGTTGCTGTGGGTAAATTTCGGCAGTATATTTAGAGAATTCTTGATTATTTACGGAAAAAATATTGAATGTCCCTTTTGTATCCCTTCGCCTCTTCTTTTTGGACTGTCACTGTAATGCCAGAAACACATCATCACTGACAAATTGTACAACAATCTCACATGCTTGGAGTAAAACTACAACTAAAAAATAGCAGCACACAAAAAAAAATCTAACTAACAAGAAATCTTTGGAACACTTGTGTAGGCAAGATGTCTTTTTGGGTAAGGCTGTTGCTCATATTTAAAAATAAAAATAAAATCACGGATAAATATTCTTGAAAATGATCTTTAATCAATGTCTCCTATGTCGCATTCTTTTGTATGTATTTGTCATACACGTAAGACAAAGTTAAAAACCATATTCCTCACATGATCACATTTAAAATACCCGAACTGTAAATATTTATGTTAATTAATGACTTTTTGTTCTTGTTTTAATTCATTCTCTTTTCTCTTTTTGTACTGGAAAGTAAACTTTTTAACACAATTACAAATATACTTATACATTACAAAAAATGTTAGATATCCTTCATCTATAAAGCCATCAGCTAAACCTACCTTCTGACACAAGAGAAGGACAATTGTTTACGACACTCTGGCTTCCAAGATACATTATAGAGTACGGATCTTGTCTGATTCTGACCCAAGATATTGCTTTAGGACCTAAATAAAAAAATATATATATATATTCCAGTTTGATAGTTTTACTTTCATATATTCTTAAACATCTCACAATAATTGATTTATCCATTTAGAAAATAAACAAGCTGTAAAGTAGTTACATGAATGAGTAATGAAAGTATAATAAATATCACCGAATATTGTATTATTAATGTTGCAAAGGGATATGTGTGGTACGGTTTTATGATGGTGATTCTATCGAGAGACTTACAATCATCAAATTCTATATATGTCGTTAATCATGTATGATATAAAGGCTGGGTTGAATCCAAATAAAATGGAACATCGCGACGATCACGGAAATAAAAACATGCGATTCACTTCGTTTCAGCGCTTATTGTTTGGGTACGCTTGTTTTACAGAAGAAACTTATTAATCAAATTAAAAATATAAATAGGTCGTACATAACGAATAAAAAAAAAAGTCATACAAATGAATAACCATGTCCAATTAAATCTATTATTTTGTGAAAAGATTCGAGTTGACACTTTTCATTGAGCATGTCAATATCGCTTCGAATGGTACAACTTTTCCCTTTTTTTAAACTGAATTTTCACCTGCTGGACCCAATAAAGAAATAGTTTTTATCAAGTCATCTAGAGTTTTTTGGTGACGTTGAACCGTGTTTAACATTGATATAAACTCATCATAGACACCAGGATTAAACTTTTGTATAGGTCATTTTCAACAGAAGCTATCAAATCAAATGAAATTTCTTTCCTATTCATATTTTATGAATATTACTCATTTCAGGAATAGTTTTTTACCTAATGAGCTATTTTAATGTTGTGCTCATTCAGGTAAAATTAAGCAGAGACCTCTTTTTGTTTATAAGTTTTCTAAGAAATGACTGTACCATACAGAAAAAAAATCAGGTAAACCAGAAAGAACCAAGAAACAAATACTAGAAACCAACTTCTGAACAAAATGTTCGCACAAATAAAAATGTTGCCGATTGGTACAAAACTACTCCACTATTGCCGACCAACTAATATTTGATTTATGATATGACTTTTAGGGCAGGAAGTTGATGTTTTTTTTATCTTCCAGAACATGCACTTAAAGCGTTACCCTATAACAGTTTTATTTTTGCGTTTGCCTCAGACCATTATCATAACCATTAAGCAGAAATTGACGCCAAAAAATGAAAACAACACTTTATATAAATTTCATGCGCCTAAACCGCTGTTCTGGATTTACCTTCATCAGTAACGCTCAAAACCGAATATTTGAAAGCCATGGATGTATAAGAACCGAAATAGTTGAAGAGCTATATGACCAAAAGAACATAAAAATATTAGCCAAATCAATCTAAGGTCAAATTTGCTTTACATAATAATAAATCGTTTTAGCGTATTATGTCAGTAAACTTAAATTAAAAGACATTTTCCCTCCGCATTGATGAAAGCGCGACATTTGTCAAAAAAAAAAAGAAATATTTAAACATTTGTGTTAATGATTCTCACACATCTCTGGACAAATTTGACAAACAAATATGTTACATTTTTATGTAAACTTACCAGGGAAAAAAGTAAGCAGGTGAACTGATGGTGTAAGAGCTTTAAATAAAAAAAAAATTTTAGTAGGGAAAAAAGCGTGACGTACCTCTAAAATGAGAATTTGAGTGCATAGTAGCTATGGTATTACTAGTAAGATTTTGTATCAGACTTCCAGTAGCTGATATACGTCCTGTTTGTTCATATAGTAGGAATACATATGGATTATCTACCTCTGTTGGGTTCATAGGTGCTCGATAATCTACTACCGCCTGAAAAATAGTTCATATAGTAGGAATACATATGGATTATCTACCTCTGTTGGGTTCATAGGTGCTCGATAATCTACTACCGCCTGAAATATAGTTCATATAGTAGGAATACATATGGATTATCTACCTCTGTTGGGTTTATAGGTGCTAGATAATCTACTACCGCACGACAAATAGATCATATAGTAGGAATACATATGGATTATCTACCTCTGTTGTGTTCATAGGTGTTCGATAATCTACTGCCGCCTGAAAAATAGTTCATATAGTAGGAATACATATATATTATCTACCTCTGCTGGGTTATTAGGTGCTAGATAATCTACTACCGCATGACAAATAGTTCATATAGTAGGAATACATATGGAGTATCTACCTCTGTTGGGTTCATAGGTGCTCGATAATCTACTACCGCCTGAAAAAATAGTTCATATAGTAGGAATACATATGGATTATCTACCTCTGCTGGGTTCATAGGTGCTCGATAATCTACTACCGCCTGAAAAGTAGATGTAAAACAAATAATGTACTTAAGTATTATTACCTAATAGAAGAGTAAAAATGTATTGAAAAAAGCAAATCAAAGAAAAAAGAGACCGAGTATATTTTCAATCCATATTCAAAATATATCGATACAAAGCTTATAGTGTTATGCCTGGTCAATCATTAATTCTGAACCAAAATACCGAGTTGCTTAAAACGTATTGTTGTTTTCTGGTCCGAATCATACAAAAAGTTAGGACGGTTGGTTAATGATCAACCTTAATATTGTAAACACAATAACATTAAGCATTATCAATTTAACTGAAGCACAAGATGCGCACTTCGACAAATCATGTCTCTTCAGTAATGATCAGGCCAAAATTTTTGATAATCATAAATGTTGTTTAAAATTTGGTGAATTCATCTCATAGATGAATAAAACGGAAATTGTAGTCTGTATGCATGATGTGTAATACCTGAAAATAAAGTCACATTCAAATTTCTCCTCTCGACCAATACACGACATGTATATACTCGTAAATTCGACTTATATGCTATGAATTAATAAACTTAGCAAATCGCTGCACACATATAATAGGAACTTTCCAATTCTTTGTTATCCAGTAGAAAAATTCATTTTAGCAGTAAGTCGGGAGGTTCGTGTCAGCAGAACGGAAATGGCAGGTCAATCAAAGCAACGTTAACCGTTACTATTATTGATTGTACTAGTTATAGTCGGCAAAAGAAATATGATCGAGACTTTCTTTCAAGAATTTACATATTATGGAGAAAAGACAACCATTTCGATTTTAATTTATCAATAGCACGATATTTCCCAATTTTCTAAACAAACTTTTCTTTACAATATTTATACAAATCTAATCCTCCCTTTCTTAATTTTTCTATGATTTGTACCAGATACCCATAACAGGGAGTCAAAGTAAAGTGTTTAGCCTCAGTAGTTTTGTAGAGCTTAGTTTAAAACTAGATAAAAAAATATCACTAAGTTCAGTTCTCTGGCGTCATGATACAAATTGTTCATATATTTAAATGTCAGAAGGTTCTGATGGCAGTGACAAAACATGCCAAATATATTATCGTAAAGAAAAATGTCATTACATTTATAAGAGATATACAGTCTTGCATGCTATAAAGATATATCTTTTCGTAAGTATCATTCCAAAGGTAATGGTGTTTTCAAGTATTTAATAACGACTAAAAAGAAATTTGTAATGTCTTTCTTCAAGTGTCTCAGTTTTTGTAATGTCCTTAATTCAGTTAAAGAAGTTCAACCGTTTCCATTTTGTCTAAAATGTATATTTAAGAATGGTGTAGTTTACTTACTTCATGTCGAGAAAAGTCATTTCCGGGTATGTTAATAAACACGGCATAAGCGTTTCCACCCATTCCAGCATCAACAAGGACCAATGTAAAGTACTGAGATGGGTTAGCTGTCCAAGTAATAGTTGGGTTATTTCGAACTTCCCATGGATGATGTACTGCTGGAGACAATGGATCAACCTGAAAGCTACCACCGGGCATCGAATAAGAGTTAAAACAAGATGTGATAGTCCCTGAAAAAATATTATTTCTTGTCGCCATGATTATATCATATCAATACAATCATATACATATTTACTAAGATTAGTTGATTAGTATATCGATATTTTGATGATAAAGTCATTATTTGAAAAAGATTTTCAGTTTTAATCCATAAAGCGCTTTGGATGCACGCAATTTATAAAGTGTTATTTTCATTTACTGGCACTGGGTCGATACCACTGATGATGGACTGTTAGTACCCGAAGGTATCATGAGTTGTCTTTACTTCGGTACTGACATGATTTCTTACATTTATTCCAACGCCTCCGGCAAAGATGACCTTAGATTAAGTTGGAGTTATTTTTAAGATCAAATTTGTTCCTTACGTCTCTGCGTATTTATACATTCCTGGCTTTCCAGGGTTCAAGTGTTCCTGATGAAGATATATTAAAAAGCGCTTCGGACGTATGAAATTTATCAACTTTTATTTCTAGGAATGTCAACTCGGTGAACAATTATTATTACATTGGTAGCAATGAATTACATTGATTTCCCAGTCAAATAAAAACCGATAATTTCACATGTGAAATAAACGTGGTTATTTCACTCTCTGACGTCATACAACAGTAGGCGTTGTCAATACGTCGATAACGTCGGATCAAAACAAATTGTGAATGCGTAGAAAAAAGATATAGTTCCTTACATTTTCTACATTAATTTCATTAAAAAAAGCCATTTGCCAATGTAATAAAAAGAATAATTAATCAAAGAATTCAAATATCGAAAAATATTTAACTCGTGATCGAACAACACTGATAATTAACTTATGCGCTACGCGCATTCGTGAATTAATGTGTTGTTCGGTCACTCGTTGAATATTTTTCTCTATTTGAATTCTTCGATTAGTTATTCTATAAATAATCGAGTACTCGTTGGTTTTATCGAGCAATATTCGAGTACTCGCTTGGGAATATATCTACAACACGGAAAACACAAAAATACGTATTTTACTTTCTGTGGTTTGTTGTTCAACGCACGAAAAACCATCTACATAAGTATCTGGGACAGGGTATTACACCCCATATTTAATAGCTCATTACCTACAAGTTCTAATTAAGTAAAAAAACAATAATCTAATCAATATAATTTAATGAACACCTATCTATAAATTATAACAAGGAAAACCCATATCAAACAATAGTATTTGGTAATCGTTAAGAAAACACATTTAATGTTTACAAAGGCGTAAGGATTAGAAGTTTAACTATTCACTGAGGGTCACCAGAGGATGCAATGCATTCATTTTATTTGGAAACATTTTTCTTGACAACTAATATTGGGGACAGTCGGTTTTGCAACTTTGTAAATTACAGTCTTGCAGACGAAAATATTTGTTCTGACCGTACCGATGTGACGGAATGGCTAAGACATGTTTAGTTTAAAGTGTTAGCCTAGGTATAACCTACGTATTTTCGGAGGCATTTGAAATGACCATTTAGCACAAGCATTCGAAACAAAATGTATTTTATTTACTAGTTTGGTTAATCAGTGATGCCTATTTAATTTTCCGAAAGAGGTTCTCAAGAAGATCAATTTTATATAAAGAAGACAGCAATATTCTAACAGGAAACCGATTAGTCGAGTATCGTTTAGGTATTCGATACTCGGTACTACCGAGCGATACTCGAATATTAGTAGTCGAGTACTCGTTGACATCCCTAGTTATTTCCAATGTATTAGGTTTGTTTTTTTATATGTTTTGAACCCAATAATCAATTTAGAGACATCGATTATCGAAATGTGTATATGGTGTAGCAAAAGTTGGTACTACCATTAATGTTGTCATTGCAAGAACTACAACTTTCCTGATATCAGTCGGCTTCATATTTCAATGTTTTCATGATAACATACTAGTATATGTATTACATTTAGTATTTTCTGGGTCTATTATAGATTATTATACTGTGAGTGTTTAACTCATTGTTGAATTCATAGTTGCTTGCATCTACACCATTTGGCCTATGTTGAATAGTTGTTAATTGGCCATCATACTACACCTTCCTATTTCTATACTGCAATGTTCTCCTTTATTGAAATCATTTCCAAATTTCAAAATGTGTCATTGTAATTAACAACTGTAACACGATTATTTGTAATTCAAATACAAACAGCTTGAGGTATCCTTGTATATGCATATCATGATTTGTGAATCAAATCTTAATTTTGAGGTAATTTTCAACTTTTCAAAGTTAAAAAAGTGCAGAACAGCATCATAAACATTATGATGTCTGTGTTCGAGTATTTTTTTTTGGAACAAATTCAAGGTACATTGTGTAAAAATTGCTTCCTATTTGCCTTTATTTTTTTAATTTGGCAGGAAACGGGGGAAAGGAGAGGGTCCTGTTTTATCAATTTACATCGTTTACACACTATTTATGTTCTTATCCTACCATTGTACGTTAATTGAGATCCATTTGGTGATTGAATGTGTTCCAAATTTTTTTTCTCATCGTGAAAAGCTTCTTCGGAAAATGACATATGTAACAAACATAAACTTTTAGCTACTTCTTTACAAGCAGAACCAACCACAATGAAAGTTCCAATAATGTACTGGCTTCCGAAGCTGCACAAAACACCTTACAAATATAGATTCATTTCGTCTTCAAGCCATTGTTCACTACTAAACTGTCTATTCCACTTACTAGTACACTTGGTACAATCAAAAACCTGGTAATAAATTGTTCAAATAAGGCCTTTGAAAATAGTGGAATTAATTACTTTTGGAGTGTCAAAAATTCTTTGGAAGTACTCGATAAATTACATGCTTATATTGGTGATTTCGAATCTGTTCAAAGTTTTGATTTTTCTACCCTGTATACCACTTTGCCTCATAATCTTTTTAAGAAAAAAATCACACACCTAATGAAATGGGCATTAAAAAAGTCAGAATGCGAATATATATGTTCAAACTCTTTTAGGTAATTTTTTAGTAACAACAAACAAAAGAACTATGTCAATTGGACCTGCTTTGATACTATAACTGCCCTTGAATTTTTAATAGATAACATTTTTGTTCGCTATGGAGATTCCGTATATCGTCAAGTTATCGGAATTCCAAATGGGGACTAACTGTGCACCACTTATTGCGGACCTGTTTCCGTATTGTTATGAGTTACAATTTATGACTAAAATCAGCAAAGATCCATCGAAACAACATCTGATACAAAAATTTAATAACATTTTTAGATATTTGGATGATATATTGGCTTTCAATAATGACGACTTCAGTATGTACACTAAAGAGATTTATCCTGCTGTACTGACTTTAAATAAAGATAATACTAACAATGAACACTGCCCTTTCCTGGATCTTCTATATCTTTAACGGGAAGCTTAATACTAAAATTTATGAAAAAAAAGAGATGATTTTTCATTTCATATTGTTAATTATCCATTTTTAGATGGTGACGTTCCCTTGTCACCATCTTATGGTGTTTATATATCTCAACTTGTTCGATTTGCTCGTGTATGTTACAACGTATTTGATCTCTGTATTTCGGAAAAATTATTACACCAGGGTTTTCGATATCACAAACTAGTCAAAACATTTACTAAATTTTATCATCGGTACAAGGACATCATTCGTAAATATAAATCAACATGCAGACATCTTATACGTTCAGGTATTTCACATCCAATCTTTTATGGTAATATTCTTTACAAAGCATAAAAATGTCGGCATTCACCTCAAAAGCTAACCAAACCTTTAAACAAACTTATTCGGAAGGGATATAGTTACGATACTGTTGTCAGGTCATTAAAGATGGCATATTTTGGTATTAATATTGATTCACTCATAGGGTCTTTGCATCGGAAATAAACACATTTATTCTAAAAACAGTTGTTGGAATGATACGGGTTATGTTCTTCTCATATATTTTATGATGGTATGATACTAAACCCCTTACGGAGGGATTGTGCTTGAATTTCATATGATGAAGACATAATCTTTCAATCAGTTTAATTGAGGTCTTGAGCTGGCATGTCAGAAACTGCTAGTAGTCCTTTGTTAATTTATGTATTATTGTGATTTTGCTTAGTTTCTTTTGTTATCTATTCTGACATCGGACTCGGACTTCTTTTAAACTGAGTTTTACTGTTCGTATTGCTGTGTGTTTGTTTTTTTCTACATTGGCTAGAGGTATAGGGGGAGTGTTGAGATCTCACAAAACATGTTTAACCCCGCCGCATTGTTGCGCCTGTCCCAAGTCAGGATTCTCTGGCCTTTGTTTGTCTTGTATGATTTTTAATCTTAGTTCATTTATATGTTTTGGAGTTTAGTATGACGTCCATTTTCACTGAACTAGTACACATTTTTGTTTAGGGGCCAGCTGAAGCCCGCCTCCGGGTGCGGGATTTTCTCGCTGTGTTGAAGACCCATTGGTGGCCTTCGGCTGTTTTCTGCTCTTTGGTCAGGTTGTTGTCTCTTTGACACATTCCCCATTCTCAATTTTATCAAATGATTAGATAAGTATTATTATGACTAACCAAGGAGTGATTTTGTGGAAATAATTAGGAAATGAAAAAGAAAAAAAAATAATGCCAATTACTTTAGGATAAAAACAACAATTAAATTAAATGTCTTTTGATGAATTTTGGGGAAAGAAATTGTTTTGGAATCTTGCCGCTGCCGTTGAGTTTCCGCAAACGTCATATACGGTCGTTGTAGTCCTTTAACTGTTAAAAAAGGCTTTATATTGCCAATAATCTAACATTATATCTATAATACTAATATACAATTTAATTGACTTACGTAACTTGAGCGCTCAGATGGAGGGATGTCCGTATAAAAATTCAATAGGAAGGTAGTTAATGTTTTGTAATTATATAATATACGTTACCTGCACTATATGTATAATTGATCTGCATTAATCGGTCTACTTGTGAAGTGTCTAAATTTCCATTGTATCTAGCCACAATACTGTCCATGTGACCTTTATGCTTGTTTCTTTTACATGCAATGGTTGCATGAGGTGCATTACACAGTTTATTAACTCCAGTTCCAAACCAAAATTCTGTATTATCATGGGATTTAGTCTTTATAGCTTCAATTGTACTTTCTAGTAAAAATATAAAATATCCCATATAATCTTATGTTGTTTGTGTTTAATTATGCAAAGAATATTTTATACTGGAAAAGAACTGTTTTAAATTGTTAAATATTAAATTGAATTATGTATAAGTGTCCTGGTAAGATCATAGCTAGTTGGCTTTTTCGTACCTGAAACCCAACAAACCCGACGAACACCAAGCCCATTTTTACAATGATTTTAAAAGGAAAAGAAGAAAAATAGTTCATTGATTCATGACACAAAATCCATACACGTGCGTGATAAAACCAAAAAGCAAAATGAACAGCGCTTAAACTGCTGTTATTTATTTGATGTGTAAGGTCTACAACTCGAAGTAAAAACTTCCATCGTACTGCAATACCAAAATCAAAAAAGAAAAGACAAGTTGAAAATTATGGAAGAAAACATTCAGCCCAGTTCACTAGTTTATCTAGCAAACGACAAATAATATGAAAATAAGGAGATGACTTATAATTGCTAAAGAGACAAATGAACGAAGTTGAGAACAAGTACAAGTATAGGTCTAAAATGAGCAATAACCATACCAATGATTAATTCTTAAAAGGCAACGACACAACGAAATGTGAACAATTCAAAATAGAAACCAAAGGCGTTCTGATTTAGATTTTTTTTAAATCTGCTAATCTACATGTTTACACATTTATTTGTACCATTATCAAAGGGTAAACTACTGCAGAATAAAACGGGATGTGTTGGATAGTTCTTAGGTACATACAGGTCGAATTCATTGCGAATTTATAGCTGTTAACAGATATTTCCTCATAAAGATACGTATGCTACCTTTTTAAGTGTAGACGACACGCGTTTGTGGAATGACTGTCTTTTGATGATGGGTGATCCATTTTCAAACTTTATATTCAAATTTCCCCAAAAAGTCTATGCATTAAATTCTTTTGGAAGACTTAACAATTATAACGTTTTATATTGCATTAAATAACAATTTCAAAGGTTAAAATTCTTTAACAATGACATCTCCCTTGTTTTATTATCTTACTGTGTGTGAAACGGAACATCTGTTTTATTATTGAACAAATCAAGATTTGTTTTGACATACAAACCGAATAAAATGAATGTGAAAAACCCCCCAAAAAACTCTCATTGTAAAGTTTAAACAGTATTAAGCTAAGTTGTTGAAACCCTTCTAAGAACTAATTTTTTTCGAAAGTTTATTTAAACATTTATTAACTACTATTGTGTTGAAAGGACAGGTAGTATTAGATTATAAGTGTTCACTTACTCTAAAATTTTTGAACATGACATTTTCCGCCTACCATAGACAAAAAGTCAAAATTTCCCTAACATTGTTCAAATTTAGTGAAGGGAAGAAAACATAAAAAATTGTCTCCAGCTTGAACAAGTGGTGGATCCAAAAGGGGGGGGGGGGGGTGAGGTCCGGGGGTATGAACCCCCTTTTTGACGATCAATGCTTTTGAATGGGGACATATGGTTGGAACCCCTCCTATTAAAAATGGCTGGATCTGCCCCTGCAGCTTCTATCAATTATTCAAATTAAACATTTTGTACATCTTATTTCCGAATTTATACGAAGAATTATAGTTCGACATCGTATTTAGCTATACGCTCTTTACATTATTATTTTTATAAGGATAAACAAATCAAAACCTATGCTCATAAAAAAACGTATCTAGGGAATTTTATTACTTACGTTCAAATTTAGAACAGTTTAAAGAAAATGACCAAGAATATCCAATAGAGGACATTAACTGGTGACATCCTTCGTAAGCCTCCTGGCACATCTCCCAGCTTGGCAGAACAGGTTTTCCTTGATAGCATTCCGGTATGTAAACTCTACACAAAAATTCTCGGATATTTGGACTACACTTTCGATCAACTAAAGCTCTAATATTTTGTAATCCTACAATTGCTCCACCTTGAAATAAATGACCGGCTAAATTTGGAAATATTGTTAAATTGTATCCTATTCCAGTATGACATAATGGCGAACGAATTTGTTCGCAACAGTTAGAAACTACTATAATTGCAGAAATAATTATTAACAGTCTCATCTTTTGATCCGTTTACGTAACAACAAATACAGGGATCAGGCCTGATAAACTTTTAAGACGTGTTTGACCTTCTTATCTATTTCAGACAATCAAAATATCGATCCAACAAGTAAGATACAGATAAAACCTTTCTTTGCAGGCTTGTCAACAAGTGACGCAAAGTAGATAGAAACATACAAGATATCAAATAAGGTCAATACTTATTGAAAGTCCTGAAGGATTAATAGTTCATGATTGTGGAATTGTTCGAAAAAGTAAGAATGTTTTACCCCCAGGAATAGAATACCTTGGCTGTATTTGGTCAAATTATTCGGAATATTTGGGTCAATGCTCTACAACTTCGTACTCGATTTGACCGTTTAATGTTTTTGAGCGTCACTAATAAGTCTTTTGTAGACGAAACGTGCGTCTGGCGAACAAAATTATAAGCCTAGTTTCTTTGGTGAGTTTATTTACAACCACAATGTCGATGCCTCCGCTGGTGGAGTTTCCTTCCCGAGGGAATCACCAGCTCAGTAGTCAGCACTTCCGTGTTGTCCTGACATATCATTCAAATTTCGTTATTTTACCGGGTTTCAAAAAATTGAATTGAACGAAAGACTAAGGATTTTTACCATTAGGAATAGATTACATCATCTGGTTTTGTCAAAACCTTCGAAATTGTTGGGTCTTCAATGCTCTTCAACTTCGTACTTTTAACTTTTTTTTATTAGAGCGTCACTGAAGAGTCTTTTGTAGACAAAACGCGCATCTAGGTTAAATATAAGCCTGGTATCTTTGATGAAGTTTTTTTTTAATACTCCCAAAACAATTTTAAATACATATAACTAGTGCTAAGTCAGTTGTAATGAACTGTCTGATCATACTGTTAGTCATTGTTTTAAATAAGCACTCCGGATCTGTTGATATTATATGTTATTATCTAGGAATTTGTTCCGTTACCGACATACAATGTATTTTGTAAACCGAATTTTCTTTTAGATAAAAACAGATCTGAGCTAATGAATATCAATTCATTACATTTGACAAAAACATTTTTCTAGAAAATAATCTAATCAATAAATGTAAAGCATCAAAGAAATTTTGATTTCAAATTTATTGTTTTCTATAAATTAAAGGAATATGCACATTTTGTATTTTTTTTTCTTAATACTGTAACAGAAAGAGCCAATTTTCGTTATTGCATAGGATAAGTGACAATCCTTCAATTTGCTAGAAACCAAATTTTTATTGTCGAAATTGTTATTACATAATATATGTCATAAACATTTTTTGTTGTTGTCAGTTTTCTCTATTTAACTACGTTTTTACTTTTATATAAAGATCAACGGACTCGTGCTAGATAAACCGAATGGCGGAAATTGATAACTAGGTATTAGTGAAATAGAGTCATTAGACAGTTCCCTTGTAAAATATTTGTTAGGCACAATTTTCACATTAGTTTGAAAGCATTTTTCCAAATTTGTTTCATGAAATTTAAAAAAAAAAAATTGCCAAGCGCTGATGCAAGTCTCATTTTTTGGGAAAGGACACATATTAGATTGATAAAAAAATCCAATACGATTCAAACATAAGTTGTCTGAAAATAACATTAACAGTACCAATTTTACTGAACAAGATGCGCATTTCGACAATTATTATGTCTCTTCAACGACGCAGAAGGCCGCAAGCTCAGGACAGAACATTTCTATTCTGGTTTGTGTATCCAAATTTGGCCTACTATCTCCATCCTGGTCTGTTTGTTAGGCTCTGTCCTATACCTATGGCGTCTTTAGGAGTGTAGACCTAGAGTTTCGGTTAAATTAACCATACAGACTAAGGTTATCAGAAAATCAAAATGAATAATATGAAACACCCGTAAACAAAAACAAAAACAAAAAAACAAAACAAAACCCCTTTCTCTAAACACAAAACCCAACCAAGCAATTATCCAAAAAGAAGAATGCAAGAAACAAGTAATTAGGCAACACAGAAGAAACTAAAATCGAAACAAACTCATTGTCTTTAAGGCATTTTCTGCTATAAATGTGGTTCTGTAACTAGTGATGTGTGACCTAAACATTGTGTGAATCCTTAGAGAAGTTTAAGATAGTTACCCGATCCAAAGATGTTATCATTAGGACAACTGTACAGTTTAAAGTCGCTTTATGTAATCAAGGGACATTTGCGATTTTGGGATTTACAGATTTATATTGGGGTTTCAACAAGAGTTTGAAACACAATATTACAATCATGAATATTCAGATGTTAATAATTCAAAACAATTAAATTATTTTATCTTCAAAGCATGCCCATTTTCATTATTCTTATGAAGTCTTTCAGAATAGTAGGAGCTAAAATTCCTGTTCTAATAGAAGTTTACAGGAACCGATACCAAGGGCAAAACTCAAGTCTTTAACGGTTTGTCATAAAAATAACACACAACAACTATCCAACTATATGAGATATAGATACGCCAGAACACGACTGTGGATATTGTGGTTCTTTGGCACACTCTGCTGTTGCATCCTTGCCGCTTTCATACACTTTCTGATGGCGAACATATTCATCATATTCAGCTCGAAACTAAGTGGCGCCTGCCAGCGTGAATCCTTGATCCATTGTAAAATCGTTTATATCAAACAGACACCTATGGAATATCAAAACCAAACTGTAATGTGAGTGAAACCCTTTTCAATTTTATAGTTTGTTCTTATGTTGTGCTGTTACACGATTGCCCCAGATTACATGAGGATTGGCACGTTCGCAAACATTTTTAACCCCGCCACATATTGTTCCAAACCAGTAGCCTGTAATTCAGTGCGGTTGTCGTTTGTTGTTGTATATCATATTTTTTTTCGTTAATTGTTTTGTACATTAATCAGGCCAATTATGTGAAACACATAAATCAGGTAGAACTACTAATATTTTCGGTAAGCATATAACATATAACGTTATTAATTTCTCAAACCAGCGAAAACCTCTCCTCTTGTCTAAAATATACCTTCGCCTTAAAAAAGATAGCTTTATAACTTCACGGCTGTTTTTTTCGCCCATCTTTTTTCATTTATATTATTTTAGTTCTTGTTCTGTCTATATATATACGTTTTTAATTTAGATGTTTAATAAATAAATTCTTATCGAATTATTTAAACAAACATGAACACATGAATTAGATAAAAAATAAATTTACAAATTTAGAATTACGAGGTTGCTGATAAGGAGAAGGTTTGAAGAGATATATCATCAAATCCCTGAATTGGCAAAAAGAGACAATTATTCAGTCTTTCTAAATAATTTCAATTGTTTTTGTTACCATTAATATAACGATAAAGTTGGGTCACTACACTAAATCCATACGTGACCAATCATCGATGTTATAACATTTCGACGACATATTTGACACATTAAACAAAGTCTATTTTACAATTATTGGGTAACGTCAGATATGAGCAACAACTTTACCCCAAACAAGATATTTGACCCTCTTCAACTTCTTTGTATAAAACAACTGGTATCAAATTATCTTGTAGAGCCAATCGGTTGTTCATATTTAAATGTTGAAGGAAAAATCTTGTTTTCCATTCGTTTGATGTGTTTGAACTTTTGATTTTGCCATTTGATAAAGGACTTTCCGTTTTGAATTTTCCTTGGAGTTCGGTATTTTTCTTATTTTACTTTTTTCTCAAATAGAGTCAATCTTGATCGCTTTTCCTTCAATGGAAGAAGTTTAAGGTGGTACATAGCTATACAGGGAGATAACTCTGTAAAAATCAGCTGAACGTTTTAATCGCGTTTCATTGTTAGGGAAATATTAAGCTTCTCAATGATCAAAATTAGTGTTTGTCAAACTGTTATATATCCAATGAATTTTTTCCGATAAAGTGTGTGGTTCAAGTTTTTTTAAATTTTTATATTTTTGTCAAAGGGTCAAAGTAAATATTTTATGAACATTTTATGAAAATTAAACCAGCCAAATTAATTTTAGTCCAGGTGTTTGGTACCACCTTAAAGGACAAATTTCAAATTACTATGAATAATATCTGACAAACTAAAGCCCTGTGAACACGTAAACGGTGCAACTTGGAAGATTTAAATCATGTTTTTATTTTCTGATTAAAAGAGCCAAAATTGTTACCTCACCATTTATCACACCTCCTTCATATTTTTGATTGTGTGTTTTACGCACATCCTTATATTATTCCTTACAATACTTTCTCCCTTGATCACATTAAGCGACTCTAAACTGCAAATTGACAACATTTGATAAGGTAATCGAAAAGTGTAACATATCTAATACTTCTTTTATTATATTTCAAAACTCATTCTTGATTTACATGGAGTGTATGAAACCGTCGTATTATAGGTTGTAAGACCAGAACGGTTTACAAGTGCAAATATGAAAACCATTTCTGGCAAGTTAACAAAGTAAAAACAACAATTACAGCACCTGTTTCCATGCCCTTATTTTGAATTTATAAATAAGAAGATGTGGTATGAGTGCCAAGGAGAAAACTCTCCATCCAAGTCACAATGTGTAAAAAGTAAACAATTATAGGTTTTATACGGCCTTCAATACGGAGCCTTGGCTCACACCGAACAGCAAGCTATAAAGGGCCCCAGAATGACTAATGTAAAACAATTCAAACAGGAAAACCTACGGTCTAATCTATATGAAAAACGAGAAACGAGAAACACTTATGAACCACATCAACAAACGACAACCACTGAACAACAGGCTCCTGACTTAGGACAGGTGCTTACAAATACAAATTACCTATTTTTGATATATCAAGTGAATCTTCTATTCAATCAAAAGTAAAATAACAAAAATACCGAACTCCGAGGAAAATTCAAAACGGAAAGTTCCTAATCAAATGGCAAAATCAAAAGCTCAAACACATCAAACGAATGGATAACAACTGTCATATTCCTTACTTGGTACAGGCATTTTCTGATGTAGAAAATGGTGGATTAATCCTGGTGATTTCCTTACCTAGTACATGATGTGGTGTAATTACTGATCACTGATGGACTTATTCGAGAACTTTGTAGATATAGTAGAAAGTAGTAAGTATGAACACCGCTAGGTGGCTGTGGACCTTTGTATTCTCTAACTGTTACACCATCATTTACATTCCCTTTTGGGATATTAAGAATCATCCAATGAATCAAAGGATGAGAATTACTGCCGACTTTAGGGTTTGGTACATCAGGATCTACCATTATCAATGAATATAACTCGTCATCTATAATCGAAAATGAAAATAAATTATACTCTGTGAATTAAGATATTTGCAATTGTCCGCACGAAAGTTTGAAAATACTTGACGGCAGGTGCCACTAGTGTAGCAGGATCTACTTACACTTCTAGAGCACCTAATATCAACCCCAGTTTTTGGTGGCGTTTGTGTTTTTAGTTTTCTTTGTAGTGTTTTGTGCACTTTTTTGTCTCATTGACGTTAAAATCCACATCTCCTTAACAGTATTGTTTGTTTCAAAAAGGTTCATATGCAAAACAGATTGTAGTTTTTTTAGTTATCAATGATCTTGTAAAGGCTCATCCTAGGGGAAATTGTAAAGGTTGTTCAAAGATCTTTTATCGTTGCGTGCAAAAACGATCTATGGTGGAGTGTTGTCTCATTGGAATTTATACCACATCTTCTTATTTCTATGTCTGTTGGTGTTAACTGTATGTTCAAACATATGACTGTTCGCGCTGTATTTAATGTCACTCGTGTTTTAGCTATTACTAATTCTCTTATGTTTGTAGCCTGTCATTTCCCACATGAAGACATATTTCTTGTATTACACTTAACGGAATGTGGTATGAATAAATGATACAAAAGTTCGTTAATTTGTTCGACCTATCCTGCGATGTATTTCGAAATCGTGCCATTTCCACTAGCTATTCGTTAAGTCAATTAAAGGTCACATTTCCCCATGGCAACGGAGATGTGTGATTTCTTCATTAATAAACAAAACACTCACATGTTTCACCTCAAAATATTCTTTTTGTCAAATTTGAATTTGATTTAATTGTGAAGCACACAGAAAGCTTAAAAACGTCTGATGTTAACAACAGTCTTAATTACTGACACAATATCATCAAGACCGTAAGCGAACTTATATTTGAAGTGAAGCTTGCGAAATGGAAAAAGATGATTTTACTATAAGAGAAATTGGTTTTAAAAACGCGTGAACATTGGATAAAACTTGCAATAATGATATAATCGCCAAAGTGTCATTTATTTTTATATTGAAATTAATTTGATTGATAAAGTGACAGAAGGCATTTGTGATGATCTGACATGAGCTGTTTATACTGTATTTACCTGAAAACTTGTTGGCTCGAAAATAAGGATCCTGTTTTGTTAAGGTTACAGAAGGCATTTGTGATGATCTGACATGAGCTGTTTTTACTGTCATATTTCCAATTGGATTTAATTCCACTGACGTTTCTCTTAAACAAAAAACACAAAACCAAACATCATAAATCAGGCCGTTTGTTTTCTCATTTGAATTGTTTCACATTTGTCACATTGATGCCTTTTATGACTAAATTACTATACGGTACGGCTTTTGATCATTGTTGAAGACCATGTTATATATATAGTATAATTGATTATATCCACGTCTGGTGCTGGATAGTTGAATCATTGGCAATCATCCCACATCCCTCTTTTTTTTTTTTTATAAATAAACCAACTAACATGAAACGAATGTACTATCACGTCAAATTATATTTTCAAAAGCATTTAATGTTTGAATATGGCAAATGTCATATCAAGGTGACATATACTAACAGTTTATTGCAAAGTAAGTTCTATAATAGTAAAATGGATATTCTAACGTCTCGCCTTGAATGTTAAGTATGTTGAATTGTCCCTAAGGCAAGGAATATGGAATTTTTATTCCAATAAATATATAGGCAAGGTATATGAATCTTTTATTCCAATACATATATAGGCAAGGTATATGAGTCTTTTATTCCAATACATATATACCTGTTTTTGAGATCCTTAATAGGGGATATTCAGTAACATGAAATTTCTCTTATCCCCCTTGGTTTCTTATAATCACATAGCATAAAAAGTACAACAAAAGTACATCAGAAATTAACTCTTTAATTATATGACTTTTTTTTTATAATACACCAACATAAACTGCGAGTTGCATTACGCGATGTAGATATATTAGGCCGTTAGTTTTAACAATTGAATTGTTTCATATTTTTCATGTCGGGGCCTTTTATAGCTGACTTACGGTATGGGGTTTTCTCATTGTTGAAGGCCGTATGGTTGCCTATTATTGCTTACATCCACTGCATTTGAACTTTGGTGGATAGTTGTCTCATTGGCAATCAAACCACATCTCCTTATTTGTATAACGATCGATGTTCAGAGAAGACTACGATGATCATGTGAAAATACGACATCGTGTTCAATGTCACGTGAGATTGCATTAACCAATCAAATATTAATTTAGCTAGCAATATTTGTATACAATTGAATCATGTTTGGTATTGGTCTGTTCAAGGTTTTACTTGTTAAAAGCAAAATAATCAGGAGGAGTTAACTGTGAGAGCCGACGCCTTTGTTTCTAAAATATTTGAAACACCAGGATGCATAAGAACCGGAACAGTTGACCAAATAGAACCTGAAAATAAGTTAAGATGAGAAAAAAAAATATTTGACTTACCGATAAACATACGTCTTACAGCATGATTTAAAAGTAATAGCAGACGGCAAATATGACACATCGACAGACATGTTAAGATTAAAATTATGAGGTAGAAACGGTCTATCTTGATGCTGAAGTGCTGAAAATTAAACAAAAATAAACTATCATGCGTATGATAGACTTTAAACATTTTAAATAAATCATCGACTTATTTTTCTTGATTTATGGGAATATATGATATTGCTTAAATATTTTGTTGGTTGTCAAAACCTAAGTCTATATTGGACTCTTTCCTACGATGGTCTAGATTTCGAATAGTTCCTTAGTTTTAAAACGAATAAATAAGTTATATGTACATTTAAATAAATAAAAAAAACCTGAAACATTTTTCAAAACTTAATTAAAATCCATCATATAAGGGAGAATGTTCGATAACAAAATTCAAAATTATTATAATGGTTGACTATAACACATCTTAAGTTTTTAAGTTTACATTTGAATAAAAAAAATAGGGCGAAATCGTATTTAGATAAATACAAAAATACATAAAAATAGAAACATCTCCTTTTATCCTTTCTCTATGATTTGTGATATAGCATTTGTATGCTGTGTTCATACACATGGATTTATCGTCATCTATCCACAATGGTGTCATGGATAGTCAAAGATGTAACAATACAATAAGGTTAAGGAGCGGACACCTAAGTTCCTATATTCTGTATTTTTTTTGGCCATTTTTATCAATCCATTGTTTTTTATTCTTTAATCTTTATATTACAGCTCTCCATTTTTTGGCCTTTTTTCTTTTCCTTTCATTTTGTCCTTTATTTTCGATGTTTTTTGTCGAATTATTCTCTATTCTGTAACATCCATTCAGACCCTCGTAATATTAACACAGTGGTAGTTAATTTAACTTATAATTGCTGAATTTGCTATATATTTAGCTTTTTTTCTTCTTTTTATTCATGAAAGAGAAATTTGAAACTTATCGGTGGGGAAAATTGCATTCCAAGTATAAAAGTTTCCGATAAACGCATACCTTGTATTATTTCATGTGATCATAATACCAGACAGTATTGATATGACTTAAACATGTAGAATCTGGCACTTACAAAAGATATCGAGTAGAATCTTTACTCACCTTCTGAGACCAATAGAGGACAGTTGTTTACTGTATGTTCTTTTTCTACCCTACCAATAGAAAATGGATCTGCCGAAACTCGTACCCATGAAATAGATTTCAAATCTGCAAATGAGAAGTTGGAGCGTGATTATGTATGTAATATATTGTAAAGTTTTAATGTAAACTGGGAGAATGACAACTCGGGCGACCATCTGAGACCTGAAATGATCGGTATAGATTACTTATTTCTTTAGTGAAATTGCCAATGTGTAGGTAGAAACCGATTTAGTGGCACACATTATCATTTGAAAGCAAATAACTCAAAAACAAATTCAGAAATAAAGTTTGATCTATTAATAGATTCAACTTTTTATTTAATGATAATCTGACTTTTCAATAGAACATAAATTGTAACAAGACAAAAAAAAAAAAAAAAAAAAGCCCAATGGCAAGTTAAATGCTTATTCGAAAACAATGTTGATAAATATGAACCTTGCTTTTTACTAGACAGTTACGCTGAGTCGGATTTTAACGTGCTATTTCACTAGGTAACAATCTTAATGCTACCCGAACACATTATTCTGACTCCGGACCGACCAGTCTTCACTCAAAACCCTAACGGCCGCGTGCTTAGAGAAAAAGCAGCAAATACCAATATCCTAGTTTTTGGTTTGACCCTACCGAGGATCGAGCACACGACCTCTCGCACTAGAGGCGAGCATGCACGCTATCACGTTCTTGGTATAGTTTGTTGTCCCTTTAACACAATTTCACAGAAAATATGAGATTTTCGTTATATCGTAAATTTATACATGTAATTTTATTGTTGAAAAGAAGTCATAATTTCAAATATACATAGGGGCAAATTCAATAGAAATGTGATTTTTTGCTGTTGTTATTTTTTTACTTGCGTCTCTTTTACAAACTTAAGTCGCTAGATTAAAACATTAGTGATGGGAAGAGACATTTTTAAAGGACAAAGTAAAATAACAAAAATATCGAACTCCGAGGAACGGAAAGTCCCTAACCAAATGGCAAAATCAAAAGCTCAAACACATCAAGCGAATGGATAACAACTGTCATATTCCTGTCTTGGTACAGGAATTTTCTTATGTAGAAAATGGTGGATTAAATCTGGTTTTATAGCTAGCTAAACCTCTCACTTGTATGACAGTCGCATCAAATTCCATTATATTGACAACGATTTGTGAACAAAACAAACAGACATCATAGGTAAAAATGTCAAAAATAGGGGTACAGCAGTCATCATTGTGTTATAATCTTAATCACTATGAAAACAAATATATCAACAAAGAAAAACAAAAAGGCATATAGACAAAGCACATTAGTAAAAACGAAAGACAAGAATACAAAAATTTACCAAAGCGCAATAACACAATGACGGGATGTATAAGTACCGAGCCACGTCAAATGGATATTGCCAAAAATAGACTAAACAAGACTAGAAAGGAAAGATGTTGCTCAGTTTTCAATGTAGTGTTTTGTGGACTTGTTTTTGCGGTGGCGTTGTCAGTTTCTATACGACTTATGAGTGTTGAATGTCCACTTGGTATCTTCTAAATATCTTTTTAAGCATACATGACAATCTTTTGAATATAGTATATTGGAACCTGAAGTGAAAGTATTCAGCAACACTTTTTTTTCTTTCACGATGAAATTCTAATAAGTGCAAAATATTGCATACATGAAGACATAGACCAGTTTCTAATATTTGTTCTATTAATCAACTGCACTGTTGACTTGGGTTCATTCGGGAGAAAAGCGTCATAGGAAGTGAAGAAATTTGCTTTGTGTCGTCAAATTTGTTTAGGAAAATGGACACATTGGAAATCATGTATTGACATTAATTACAACAAACAATAATGAACCAATAACAAAAAGTCTGAACATCGTTGCATTGCCGTTAATCATCTTGACAATTTCTGTAATGCCTACACCAATAGATTGAAGAGTTAAAGATCATACTTACCATAGAAATTAGATTCATTATGTAAAGTTTCTAGCGGTTTCTTATTCAAGTTTTGTCGGAGTGGGTCTGTTAATTGTAGATGATCTTGTTGTTTATAAAGTAGGTAAATATAAGGATTGACAACTTCTGTTGGGTTGCCAGGTCCTCTGTATTGGTGTACTTCCTAAATTATATAAACCATAACATTTGTGTGCGGCTAAGAAACTTGGGATGGGCGAGGTTTTTCGAGCCCTTTTACAGATGCGTATCGAATACAAAAAAGATTATATTTTTCCTACAGTGATATAATATTGCTTTTTATCTTACCTCCTACACATTTCTAGGAATATGATTGGTTAAAAGCAACCGCGTGGAGACCGTGTTTATTACATGTGGGGTTAGTAGGCATGGTTTATTTCAATACACGGTTAGTAGTGGTGTTACGTCCCTTTGTAAAAACAACACGATTTTGAGGAAAAATCCGAAAGGTTTCAACAGACGATTTTGATAATGATGAACGATTGAAATAAATTCATAAACACATTTAAAGCTAACAAGTTGTTATTGTTGGCATTCGTTTTTGTATAGACCAATGGAAGTAGGTTCTTAATACTAAGTATTGAAAACTTGATCACTTTGATAGGCCACTAGTCTAAATACAACTTGTTAAGATAGTCGGTAAGATAAATTCGTTACACAGTGTGCTAGTGGCCCAATACGATATATATGGGGTCACCCAATATGGAATTTACTGATCTCATATATATATCGTATTAGGTCACTAGCACACTATGTAACTAATAATATTGCATCTAAAAATGGTTACAATAAAGGTAAGTAAAATGTTGACACAAAGAAAAGGGTTAACTAAATAAAGAAATTAAAGAAAGGTGCTATATTTAAAAGTTCCTTGGTGGTAAAACCAAATAGTGATAATAATTTCCCTAAAGAAGATGTGATTGTCACTTTGTTTACTCAACGAAAACTTAATACTCATGCCGTTCACAAGAAACTAAGCTTTACATTGCATTGTTTTGCCCCAAAGAACGGATATACGTTAATTTTGTACTGTCATTCAGTATTTCTTTCTAATTCACTCAATCGTATAATGCAATTTAAAATAAGAAAAGAAAATATACCTTTTCCTGCGTCAGTTTTTACGACAAAGAACAATGATAAAAATATAAATGAATTCAACTTACATCGGCTTTTGTGATGTTGCTACCAGGAATATTTACATACAAGGCATGTAAATACGTAAACCCAATATCGTACAACACTAATGTAGAATAATCTGATGGCTTGGCTGTCCATTTCATCGTTGGTAAATTACGCAATTGCCATGCATGGTTTACAGTCGGAGACAGTGGGTCAACTTCTAAACTACCTCCCGGAAGTGAAAAGTCATCGTTGCAAGCGTTCACAGTGCCTATTATCACATTATAAAAAAAAATGTTCAGATTAAAGATTTATATAAAGTATAATTGTACCAAGAGAAAACCATTGGTAAAACAATGTATGGTATGAATATATTTCCCCATCTTATAGAAAATAAATCTTTTTCGATTATGCATCTCCACCTCCGATTTCTTATGGATTTCATACAGTTTCAGATGCAATTTCAACATTTTTTTTTATTATTTTGTTTATTTTTATCAACGCCCCAATGTTGCATATGTCATGCAATGGTCATTTTCTTTGTACTTTCCAGACTATTAATGATACATTGTTCGGGAAAACTTTAACAGTCCTTCATAAAAATACTCCAGAGTACATTTTCCTACATCAATAAATACTAGAGCAGTGTTAAATTCTATACTTTTTTTCAAAACAGTGTAGATGTGTTTGAATAAAAAAAATTGCGTTATTTTATTGTTAAAACTTAAAGTATGCTCTTTTTACTGGTATTTTCATTCGATTTTCTTGGAACAATTAAACAAGGGTATAAAATTATATTTCTTTTTTTTCAAATTTGTTGTGGCAATTAGTCTTTTTTTCTGAAAATTTCTAGTCTGCCCTCTCACGAA